TGTTATAAAGACCTTCCAGAAATACAGATCCTTATTTTATTTGCACAGCTGATCTCCTCAGCCTTGTCAGCATACTTTTTGCTGGACCATTGCTTGTGTGAGGAAACCCAAAATTCGACCTTCCGGTTCTCAGTCTAAATGCCTATTATCTCAATTATTGGACAACATAAGACAGACACCACTGATGGTCAAGCAGCAGAGCATGCTCATTAACAGCTCTTGTTCTCTCACCTCTTCCTTTGCTATACTAATGGTCCAACAAAATTCTGGACATGGCCACATTAAAACGCAACAAGGCAAGCAAGAGTAAAATCAACCTGCATTTAAATTGTTAGGGGACTCACTACTTCCCTTTGAATTGAGCTACAAATTCAGCAAATGTCTGTTCGCTGAATAAGGTCAGATTGTGCCTTCCAATGCAGAGGACCGAATCGATGCAGGTTAAAGATACATAACTTCGAACTTCGTAGGTACGATTCGTGTGTTCAAACAAGACACTGTTGGCCCAAGATCAAAATTCTATATTTTGTTATGGGGTAACTATCGACCATGCATAAAAATGTCGCAAATTGAAATGATGTAAAACTTGGGTCGGGTCTAAAATTAACAGTGATCGCTGACATTTTCGGTCATTTGTGTTTTGTATTTCGATAACCCAAAAATAGGCCAAAAATGATTTTAGTTACTTTGTATTCAAGACCTGGAACCGTGTTTTTCTGTAGCCAATGGTCAAAAGTTCAATTTGAAAACGTTATGGAGTACACGTGATTTTGTAAATAAATGTCGTGTGATAGCATCGTGTTATAAATCGACGGCAGTTTGTCCAGAGACCCCAGCGTCTAACAAAGATATTCGCAACACTCGCAAATGTGAGCCATTTAGTGATGCAATGTCTAACCACCTCTATGAGATTTCTGTTTAAAAGCGCAGTTTAAATGGTTCTACATAAGTGACATGTAAATATTTTGGAATTCAAAAAAATGTGAGTCAGTTACCAATAGAAAACAGTGTTAAGAGAGATCAAGTGACATATACGAGGTGTGGAAAGGCGTTTTACCTCCGCCAGAATATTTCCCTACAAAATAAAAAAGTGGAGTAGTGCAATACAGTATTCTAGAATGCAATTCAAAGTCAAAGGCGTTTGCAAATACCGGGAGGACTAAATGTCCACACTTCTCGGTTTAGTCGTATAAAGACGGTGAAGCAGCGACACTATTCATACTGGTTAGAATAGTTCCATCATGGTAGTATAATCCGGGTAAGTAAGCGAAGTTTATGAAGAATCTACATAAAATCAGCCAACATTTCCAGCCTTGTTTTCACACCGCAAAACCCTCCCACATCCTAATTCGTAGTAGTGATGACACTTTAGAACTTGCCAATGTTGAAAACATGGTCGGAGTCTGGAGAGTAACCACACCAGGTCGTGGCTTGTCGACTATGGTGTATTTCTCCATGCTTCTTTCCAGTTAAGTGTTTTGTTAGTGATTGATTCGGCATCCCTTGTAGGTCTTGATTAGTGATGCTTCTTTAATATTCTTTACGTAACTTCGTTAAGGCCTATTTGAGGTCGACTGAATGGTCTGGAGATAGCAAGTATTCAGGCGATGATTTCTACTTCGGCCCATGTGCGGTCTTGTTCTGCTACTCACCAGAATGAACCTTCACGTGACATGTACCAGTATACCTTAGCGAGTCGGCGTTGCCAGCACCTCCATGTACGTCCACAGATTGCTCAATCAAATATTTTTCGCAATCACAGAAGTTCTGAACCCCCCGAATTGGCGGGAGGGTGGAGTTCTTCAGGATTAAACAACCTCTCTGGTCTTTGTGCATCTGATGACGTAGCAATGTAGAAGACTATGGAGTTGATTGGTTATATTTTCGAATATTGACTCCAAATGAATCACATGTGATGGTAACTCCCTTCATGTTACTCAGGCTGTTATGTTTTAATCTTTTTAACAAAAGATTAGTAGTTCATGCATTGCCATTTATAATTTGGCTACTTTAGCATGGTCCAAAATCAATTAATGTAATTAAAATTCAAAAGTCACACAAATAACCCCCTAACATTCAATTCAGCCAATGTATTTTCGCTTCTCCAGATATCTATGTAAAAGGAAAACCTTTATTATTAAATGCCAATTTCAGAGCAGTTTGTAATTATTGATTGAAATACCAATATTGTCCTTGTATAAATAGCACATTCGAGAGTCAAGTCTCTGTGACTATCATTACCTAGTGCCTCTTCCTACTTGAGCCCCACAGGTGGCAAAGTAGATGAGTTTCAGGATGGTGTAACACTACAAATTAAATCAATAAGTGCTCCACCTACGCAATTTTTGGCGTGAAAGTTGTCGTAAATGTCCACACAATAGCGATGATTGTCTGTTACCACGTTGTTACTTCTTATTGAATTCAGAAAATTCGGTCATGAGGTTTCCTAACGTTGCTACCTTCATTATTTTAACATAAATAAAATACTACTCTACGGATTTAGGCTGGTAAAGTGATTTTAGTAAAGTGTAGAATAATAACTATGAAAATAATATAGTCTTAAATCGTTTAAGGTCTTTTAATTGGTGGGGCGGAAAAATATAGCATTGTTAAAGCTAAGTCCAGAATGTTGTAAATGGTTATAACGAATTGATGACGCAATATTAGACCAAACGTGTGGTCAATATTCTGGTTTTGTCAAGCCATTAGCATACAATAATGTTGGTTACCTCATAGGAAAACGACTAATTGTTTTTCAAATAATTTTTATGGGGTAGGAAAGTCTACACACATTAGCAATGACCCTTCTGTATATGCCAACGTGGAAATCACAGAATTCAATGTAACGAAGAAGGCTGATTGCTGACCTTCTGGATTGAAAATTACTCCAAATATTTTATCACCTTTACATGCACTGTCTTGTAAAGCATACAAAAAGGCCCTCTTCACTCCAATGACGGTTTTCTCCAGGTGACATCATCGTTTAAATGTCTTCATGTCTATAAGTATATATTGTTAATACATGAAATTCCCCAAAAATAGTGTTAAGCTTATTACTTTGTCGGGACTTGGTCAGGGAGAAAGGCAAATTTTCTATCGTAAAATCACTCCTGGTATGAGGTTAGGTTTACTAGTTCGGAGGGGGGTAAAAGAGCATGGTGAACCCTTGAGTCTTCATTACTACCCTCTCTTAATCACCTTGTGAGAATTGGAGAATTTGTTGAGTCTAGATACAGCACAAAGTACCCAAAAAGAAGTAAGAATGAAAGCAGCTCTTATTGAGTCGCGAAAAGAGCCATTTTTTAGATTGAAAAGACATTTCTTTATATGGCATCCCCTAATATCCATCACTGGATAAACGTAGCTGCGTGAAGCGCATTCAAGTGGATCAACTGATTTCGTATTCGCTCTTGCTTGCAGATCGCCACTAATTAACACAGCAATACTAGATGGTTGATTTGGGGACTCAAATATTTGGCTTACTTGTTGACCACTTTTCCGCACATTTTTCACCTACGCGAAATGGCGGTTACCTTAAACATTAAGCGAACAGCACTCGTAAACAGTTAAGAATTTTCGCGTCGTCTTGCATGCATACTGAGTGCAAAATGCACTTATAAACAACCTTCCCATGGCTGCTTTTCAGTACTGTGGATTATGTGTGGATAGGTGTATGATACGTTTTCTTTTAATTCAAATACCGAATTTTCGTGAGAAGCTTGAGCGAGTGCACCAGATAATTGCATCCTACTCTAACTTCATTCACCCGTTATTTAATCAAATAGCAAACTTGAAACCACTACCTTGTTGCAATGCATACCACAGTTTTACCTATAGCTTGACCGTTTACTACCATGGAAAATGGACACAAGTTTACCTAAAGGAACATAGATTGTTATTATTACTTTGAAAATCAAAAGCACTCGTATTAGATTATGGGGTTCGTCTATGCGTCCGTTTCGTCAAGTTAGCCTTTTTCAAAATTCACAAAAATAATGAAATAAATGTGCACAAGTATGACGAAAATATTGTTTGCTACCTCAGTTATTAGTCTTCCACTACCTTTCCACACCGACGCCATTTAAATAACACTTTGTGCGCTGGATTTTCTACGCCGCGATCATTGATTTAAGACACTAAAAGCAGTATTATATACAGGTCGCCCGGCCAAGAATTGCTCTGGGATCACAGAGTCAGAGGTACAGAGTTGTCGCGCAACGACGTCTGGGTGAATTCGTTGCTGGCATTTGAACTGTAAACGTCTCCAGCCTGCGAAACAGTTTTTTACGCTATCAAGATACCTAGGTCTAATTAATTATCTTTTTTCAGTAGGACACAGCCTATTAGAGGAAGATTTCGTGAAAACATCTCAATGGAGACATTTTCTAACCTATGGCTTAAAAAAATTGAAATGTGTTTAGACGAAATTCTGATTTGATCTCTTGGAAAAACACCTCGTAGTCCCTTAAATCTAGAATCTGAACTCGAGATTTTATCCACGTATTTACGGTGATCCAACGCCTTAACCAACTACTTGACTCCTCGAACAGCATAAAGTAACGACGGTGTGGTAAATACATTTTCCTAGAGGTAAAATGTAAAGCACTTGGCATTCTTGACAAAAACATCATCCCAACGGGTTGTAGAACTCTTGTAAATTAGGGTAAGGAACGGAGCAGGACAAAACAGACGCATTAGTAAGCACGCAGGCACTACGGCTGTTTACTACCCATTTTACCTTGCCACTAGTTGATTCGATGTTTTTGCAGCTTGACTGTTAATTGGTGAATTGAAGGTCATCAACCTATTGGCTACCAGGACGTATATAAATCATGCTAGCAAGCCGCTAGGCGTTTTCCGTCTCCCCGCTTGGTCCTCTTTGTTCAACGCGGGCGAATCTGAATTTGCTAGATTTCTGTTCTGTATTTACACTATAATGCCAAATTCTTGGTTCATTCTCCGTACGCTCAGTACTTTACTTATGCATGTTTAAATTCAGGATGGTTGAAGTAACACGCAAACCCCCAAGCGCTCTTGTAGAGGAAGATCCTTCGCAAACCTCGATACGCACCAAATTCCACCTTATCTCAGGTCGTCCATCATCAAACGACTATCTGGCCGCACTGCGTCGAACAGCCGCTTCCAAACGCTCGTTGCTGAAAATGTGCACTCCCAGGGGCAACAACCAAGGTCCGGACGATGCTGAAAAAGGCCTAAACTCACCGATTGATGGGGATCCGAAGCGCTCAAAAGCGGAGCAGCTTGTCGAGCAGAATGCTACTGAGTCCGGTCTTCCTCAGATATCAAAAAACCCTGTCAAATCTAGTTCTGACGGGCTTCCCAGACAGGTTTCACAGCCTAGAATTAGAAATCAGTCAGCTCCACTACTTTTGGGATCCCTTGAAGACTGTGCCACTAAATCCCCAGTCTTCCCCGAGATAATTTGTGATGTATGTGTGAATTTACGAGATGATTGCTCCCAGGCTGAGTCTATCTACAACTGTTTTTTTTTCTTGTATAGTTATCGCGGATACCTAAAAACCGTCTGCAGAAGTTACTGAAGAAAGAACCTAACTACCATCCCAACAATGCATTCCTTTACTACGTTGATCCGGTGAGTCGGCAGTTCAATTGTTGATGTTAATGATTCGTTCTCCTATATCACCGGCAGAACTTACCATTTAAATTCATTTGATTCTGTTTTTTTCCATAATTTTATTCCTGAACTCAGGTCAGCTTAAATAAGTGGATATATGCTCTCGCTTCAACGGCCATAACCAGTTAATTATCATATTTTAGTTTATCTTTAAATCTTGATTTTAATGCAATTATAAATTCCTACTAGTTACAATCATGTTGTCGGATGTTTCGAGAAATGTCTTCAATAGCTTGTGACACGATATTTTTGTAAAACGATGAAATTATCAATAATAACCTCTAAAGATTTAGACTTGATAATTATGGATTACCTAATCGAGAGTGTCAATTTTAAAGTTGCCAGCCGCAGAATACTACCGCAAATTCACCACTCTCGCTAAAAGCGACAAATTGAACCTATTGAGGGGACCAATTAGCTTCTATGACCCAATGTTACAAGTCGAAGACCCTTGGTGAATTTTGGTCAGTGAAGCAATTCCAATAAGGTGCTGTACAATTTTGATTCTCCACACTGCACGTATCAAACTAGAACCCCTTAACGGGTAATGTTGACAAATGTGGGCCTAGGCTAGCTTTAGGATTAGAGTTTACGATCTAACTCATTCCTGCATCATTCCCGCAACATATCACCTAAAACGCTATTTTATCTGAATATTTTTAGCATTAATTAGGTGACTCCACTAAATCAGCTGCCTTCAATCGAGTGTTATTACGATTTTTGACTGCCTCAGTTATCGAGGTAACGAGCTTATTCACCTCTGACAAGACCAGTCGGGGTTAGTCGGACTGATAAGCTTTTTACGCAGAGTGATTTAAATGTTGTCAATTACTGTGCTGGGAATACCATTTCTGCCTAAAATTTCGTCAGCCTAAAGCTTGTAGTATGCGCGTGTTTTGGGTGCGAAAGGCAGGCTACGAGCGCACTACGCGACCTACGGCTGCGTTTGTGAGAGCGCTAACAATCAGCTGATTCCTGGTTGCGCCGCCCAGCTGTTTTCGCTCGGCGTGCCTCTGTTTGCGATGTGCGTGTGTTCGTGCTTGCATGCGTATGCCGATGACGTATTTTGTGCGAGCGTCCCAGGGCTCTCATGCGCCATGTGCACACGCGTGCGTCCGTATGTGCACGCGAATATGTCTACGCGCTCACTCGCTCGGGTCCACTAACTCCGCCTTAAGGCGTGAGCACGTGGCTTGCAGCAAAGAGGCGCCTTCCTTGAACCTCACCAAGGGTCCAAACACACGCCGATATGTAAATAAGTCATCTGTGGCTTGGTGAAGCACAAGAACGCCTCCTAAAGCATTAAAAACCAGATATTTGTAGCTTATTATTGAATTAAGAAGCTTGAGAAGGCTATTATAAAGTGCGCATGAATTTGAACCGTATATTTTGTAGGTTGCAGAGGACAAGGTAGACGCCACTCTTCGGAACGAGGCTGTTCATAGTTTGCGCTTTATGCATAATGCATTCTTCACACTCTCTGCTGAAGCATTTTGCAAAGCAGTTAATTTGATCGATCGTTTCATCGTTAAAGTTAAGGTAATGTTTTAACTTACTTTGCATAGACTGACTCGAAAAAAAGCTCCACGGTTGACTAATCCATGTTTTCCCTCTTAGGTTAAACCAAAGTACATGTCGTGTGTTGCTTCAGCAGCTTACTATGTCGCGGCGAAACTCGTGGAATCCACACCAGTAAGTAAGCTCTCTGTAGTGTCTATGAAAGGCTGATAGTTTTTATTGAACCTGCTATGTTTTGCCGTTTATTTACGCCAGTGAATTTAAACGTTCGACTCATGAGCAAATTTCTTTTTAGCTTAGAGCTAATCTTCCGCTCTACCGAATTCGAAACACCTGTGTCCGGACTTCACTCCTGTCCCATCAACAATGAGCCATTGCACGTGGTTGCGACGATATAAACCATGTAGTACTTGGTAGCAGTCGTGGGAATGGTTGGATATTAAAGTAGCTTTATTTCTAGTTCTGTTAAATTACTTTAATTCTGCGTGAAAAGCCAGCCCTTTTCCCAGTCTACCTGGCATTATAGTTCTGATAAATAAACGCCAGTAGTAATATAAGTCCATGAGTTGGTCTTCCTTCGAAGTTGTAATGTAAAACAGTTGCTTCTGGGGGCAATGCTTCATTTGAACGCGTGTGATTCATAAACTCCGCACTAGATTATTGGTTGAGGTTTTGATCGGACTGTTTCGGTGTGTTAGTTTCCTTTCTATGTACGGGGACGAACACGGCATTTCAATTCCTTGATTAGGAAAGCGCTTGATGGCACCCATATATTAATAATATCTTCGGCCTTGTTTCAAAGAGTTTGATGTTTATTTAGGATTTTGGAGTACCTAGTCCAGATGCACTTGTACGAATCTCCCATTGCGGTGGAACTGCCGCCGATTTACTTCGAATGGAGGATATCCTTAAAGCGAAACTAGGCGGAGATCTAGACGGCGTAAACGCGTTTGATTTCCTTCGTCTGTTTGCCTCTACTGCAATAGTTCTGCCCGAGAGCACCAGGTCGACCACTTCCAATGGACTTGATCTAGACCTCAAAGCCGCAGATGTGGACGGCGTTCCTCCAATGGATGCGGAAGGCATCCAGGGTCAACCCCTTCTTCCTCCACAGTCGCTGCCTGAGTCAAGTAGTGTCAAAAAAATTACTATCACAAAAATTTCTCAGAGTCGCAGAAATTATGACATTTGGAGTGCTATGACAAGTCGACTTGTTGTCGCCCTCTGCTCTCTGGAGATCTATCGTTTCCGGCCCGTCACGGTGGCATTGGCAGTACTGCAGCACTTCTGTGTCACCGAAGTCGCTGATTTGGCGCGTCTCTGCGATGTAGGTCCTGGTCTTTCGGCTCATAATTACATCCACCCTGCCTCGATATCCACTCTTCGTCAATTTTCTTATAGGTTCAGATGAACGACGTTCATCAATGCTCAGCGTTGGTTGAGGAACTGTACAATGTTTTCTACCGTGACTCCCATCCAATTAGTCGCAAAGCACTTGTCTGGACCTTATCCAAGCGTACACTCCTCCGCATCGGCTGCTCCAGTCCAACGACCTTGGATACGATCTCAGAGGATTGTGAGTAAGTTTGCTGGAGGAAGACTTCGGTGGCACCGCGTACTTTATTTTACAGTTCTTGTTTTGTTTTCCAGAACCGATAAAGAAGACAACCTGCAGTTCCTCTTCGAACCGTAGCGTCTATTTTCTGTGTCACTGTTGTTTCTTTTCTTTCACACACTCCGCCGAAACAGGGGACCGCATTTATCCACTTTACACGCACAAAAAATGCACACGTAATTAAAGCCTGTCTCGTACCTCCTCATCTTAGGATGACGTCGATGTCCTGATGACTAGAACGTGTGCACAATGAAGCCAGATTACCCAACCGCCTGCTGTCGTAGAATCAATTACCATTACTCTCTCAGAGCCAAGGGCTCTTTCACTTACTCTATCTGTCCATCTTTTCATGCAAACTTCTTCGAAAATATACAGCAGAGGTGAAATGCGACTCCAAACGCCAGAGGTAAGAGGCTTCTACGTTGTCAATCCCCACTACCACATCCCTTTCGCAGTTTGTCGCCGATTGTCTTTCCGTTCGAATGAAATCAGCTGGACGGCTCTTCCTTTTCACTACCAATCAACTACCACTGAACCCACTGCAGTTTGTGAAGATGGTAGTGATGGTGATGATGACGACGATGGTGAAGTCCCACATCCTGAGATTGCTGCATTTATTCTCAAAACTTTTCACACACTACCGGTATTTTTCACACCCTTTTCTTTCTCATTTTGAGCGTACGCCATTTTATACAAAAATATACCAGAAAAAATCAAGGCCAAGTCCATCGTAGAATATGAATTTTTTATGCCTCCTATGTCCCGAAGTGCGCACACGTCCTCACTTCGCGTCCGCCGCATCCGTGCTTTCCCATGTACCCACCGTGACGTTACACAACAAACAAACTGCAACGAGTGCCACTTGGCGTTGTCGGGTAATATTAATTTGTTATCGGTTTCTGGTATTTTTTTTTCTGGATACAAAAGGACTTTTCATTCCGCAATATTTGTGGTCAATGACAGAGAGCCAGACCTCCTCATTAGTTTGATGCTCCAGCTGCCCCAGGGTAGCATTAGACTTGGTGTGAAGTAAGCAAACGTGAGTGAATCCAAACTATTTATGGACCCTTTCACCTCCATAAATTGGCGAGGTGCGTCTCTTGAATGGTAAATTAAACTCGCCACCCCGTGACTGTAATTAAATCACACTCTTGTGATACATGGTTTCCTTTCAAATGAACCTGTGCGTAGATACAGCTGCATTTCATTTTGGGAAAGTTACCATGCACTTTCCTTTTTATTATAATGTTCATTTAGTGTGCATGCTATCCAAATTTCGTCTGAAATAGGCCACTGCGTAAAAGCTTTGTTGAGTCCGCTCGAATTCACGTGGTTGAAACTTCACGTTTTGTTGTGTTCATCCATCCTCAATTCTCCTAATGAAGATTCAGGAAGTACTTAGTTAAAATAAGCAATAGTGTGGTCGAGCTTTACCTGATCGAATAATAAACGAAGGAAGAGGGCAAGAGGGGAGTATGTGTGGATAAGATCCGAGGAACGAAGATACCTGTTTGTCGCATCTTGAGGTCAAGCCAGATGCCGGCTCGTGACGTTTAGTCGATCACGTGATCCAAGTTCAAGCGAAAGGTTGTCGCTGGAGCTTTTTAGCATCACAAATCGAGATTGAATTCTAGGGACAGCGTTCTCCAGCTACGTTATTTTAAGTCATGAATCTGCTTAAAGATACAATGAAACTGGTTTCGCCAAAATCGTTAAAGGATAGAATTTAGCAGGAAAATTTTTTGTCAGTGTTTTGGCAATTCGTCAAGTGGATTGAAGAATTTTGTGGGATCAATTTCAAGTTTTCCCATGGTTTCTAGTTCGGTTCCATCGACAAATACGTTAAGAAATGCTCCTACTTTTGCACATGTGGCTCATACAGACGATTTACAAGCGATGTGCTGCCTTGCAAAGTTTGTGCTGACCAGTCCACATGCAAAAGCGCCACACACCAAGGTTGTGGTGAGAGTTTTGTATGCTACCTTTACAGAACGTGATCCTAGCAGACTTCAAGCTAACCTAGCGACGGAGAAAACTCCGATTTAATCCGAGCATTTTACTATATTCTCACTAAACGCTGATGGGTAGTGAGACTCTGTCTTAAAAGTAATCGGAACCCTGATGTTAGTGCATTGACTACAAAAACTGAGAAATCCAAAAGCCAGTTAAAAGCAGGTTGTTTGTGAACAAGTCAAATATCAGCTTGAATTTATACTACGTAGTCTGCACTCAAGTAGATATGCAAGAGACGCACAGCCAAAACATCTCGAGGCAAAAATAGTAAGCCATGCTCCCCGGGATCCATCAAGATGCACAAAAAACAGAATGCGGGTGTCTATAAAGATTCCTGCAAACTAAATTAAGCAGTTAGAATCACCTTGGAATGCCGCCTTCATAAATTCTCTTTTTAAATGAAAGTTTTGGCAAGATAGGACCTGGCAATCCGTGGTACACTAAATGCCGTCGATGTAGTCAAGATGTGGTAAGGTACGAGAGCACCAAAATAGATGTGTTCGCAAGGTTTTCTTGTAGTGAATGAATCTCAACGTGATGCATAATAATATGCTATTACGAAACAAATTCACTAGGCAGTGTCCAGCTGTATAGATTTTGGCATAATTTAAAAAAACCAGTAGATCTGAAGAGCATAATTAAAAGAATCCTCTCAAAACTGGCTAGTAATCCGAACTTTGGGTAAATTTTACGTGTCCCAAGTTCGGTGATTACTCTTTTCCCAAATCAAGTTAAGCGTGAATCTACTACATGGAATCGTGCTATGATGATTGGCAGGGCTTCGTTGATTGTCAGGTGTTTGCCAGAAAAAAAGGTGATCGTGTTGGGAGCAAAAAGGCCTTATCTACTACAATGTAGTCTGTCGTTGAGCAGCATTCGATGCAATTAAGTGAGGAGAAGCTTACTGGAATAGAGACAAAAGTTATAATCCATTTATTAAGAAATGAGTCCGTACATTAGGTCATACAAACCACTCTAGAGGCAGGGCCTGGTCACAAAAAAGTTAATTTCATCACCACCAGTTCCCTCCATTAGTGCACTGGCCAGTCTTCAGCACGTTTGCCGAGCCATTGTACGACATTTCAACGAAGGGAATTTTACTCGTTGGCAGCTCTTAATGACGTCCACAAGTCCCGACAAAAGAGTTCTAGGTTTGTTCATTTTTTGGACAAAACAAAATCGTATGTTTCTTTGTCGCAAAGTTGTCAAAAAAATTTTCTTAAGTCTTATTAACCGTCCCTGTGTCGGCAAAATGAAAATCCCCGATGAGAAGGAAACATGCGTGAAGCCTGACACCGTAAGGTCACCTGGGTCTTTCTACCAGGAACGACGCACACGCCCACCAAAACAGATTAGGGTCATTTTATATTTTTCCGTCCTCTTTGAAAATGGGGATCCAAATAACTGTTTCTTTGCTGATGAAAACATCAACGAAAAGACTGAATGTATGAAATTAAACTGGTAGCATTATTCACTTCGTGATATGTTGATGGCCAAATAGGAATAGCTAAATCAGTTAGGAAGGAACTATCCCTGGACAATGAATGCAAGCATTGACTTCATTAAAACACTCTTCTGGGCCACAGGAAACACCGTAGGGTTGATTCAATGCCCCCAACATTACAATATCCCACATATGAGTAGTAAAAAACTCGGATGCTCATGGACATTTAATAAGTTGAGATAGAAACCATGTCCTGTCCTGTGTAGCGGTCCGTAAAAAGCCTGCCTTCTTCTCAGGAGGCTCGTGTTGTTGACACAGAGTAGGCGCGTGTGTGCAGTTAAAAACCCCAAATTGCATTCTTTGGGTGATTGCTATTGACCATTTACCACGAACTTATTCATCGTTGTGAAATTTTCGACCCAGATCAGGACTATTATTAACCACTGCAAATTGTGAAATTAATGGTGACCAGCATCGAACAACAAGAAAGGTGTTATTACCCTTCACAGCATCCCCTGACCTCACATTCCATCAAAGGCACGCCAAACGCTGAGAAATGTTACATCATTCCTAATTCTCCCTGGACCTTGCATCCACATATAACTCAATTCCTGCCTTGCCTTTTCATGTCTCCCCAGGAAGACTATTGAACTTCTGTTGACATTCTCTAGGTTAGAACTGGTTACGCCTTATAGTTGATGGCTAAATACTGCCCTCTGTCGGAGACTGACAAGGATGCCAGGAAATGGTAGATGGCACTAACTCTCTGATTTTTAAGGAACGCATTATTCCCTATTGTTGACTGATACCTGTCCTCAAACGGAAATGTTTCCTGTCACTGCTGCCAATAAGGGAAGTAATGCGATTTTGCTTAAGATTTTTTCAATGTAGAAAATATTTGACTTTAAATTATGTTTAGTTACCTTTAAGAAATACTTTGTTACTGGAATTTATGAATACGTCGAAAATAGGTAACAGGACCATATTTCACTCCGACAAAGTATACCTCTTCCACATTTTTTAACCCCGTTTAAGCAAAAACTATAAAATGTGTCTGCAGGCTCAGTATTTTCCTCGACTTCTTACGTATTCATAATTTTGTCCTAGTTTAATTGAGGTGACTTCATGAACTCACAAACAATTGGCTAAGCTGTCAGGGTTGCTTCTGTACGGGTCCCACCTCCCAGTGACAGCATTCAATTTGACCAAAGCGTTTTTATCTCATTTGATTTCAGCAACTATATTGTTGCTTGATTCAGAATGGGTGTATGGCCTAATTGTTTTAGTATCCTGACACTGAAACCTCAACTTTGATTGACAAGAAAATGCATGCAACGGATAAGTTCCCGTCGTCCTTTCATTGGAGTCACATAAATTGTATCCTTGGTTATTAACATGGGAAATTCCTATGAATGAAAGAGGGAATATTTGGCTCGCCTACCTTCACGGCATTCCAAGAAATTTTCCTTAATTTCACCCTAAAACCGAACTGATGGTATGGTGCGTTGACTTGAGTTGTATTTGTCTGTAAAATCACGATTCCGTGTCGCGAAAATCGATTTTTGCCTCTACTCATATTTTTTTGTAGAGTTGCAATTTTCATACTTGATATTGTGGGGAT